ACTGTACTAACACTTCAAGCTTTGAAGGCAGGATTTTTTCTCTTTGGTTTGTCTTGTTTTGTGTTATTTTTTTTTTTTCAAAACTAAAAGTCTTAAACCTAAGGAGAGCTGCGCGAATGTTCTAAATTGCCTAAAATGTGGATGATAGAAGGCCGGTGCACATCTCTACCTAAGAACAAGGCACAGTTTTTCGCTCGCTTTTTTTCTTTCCTAAGGAAAAACTAATAAGAGAAAGCAAATAGCCTTGTGAAAACTTCTGTGTCACCTCAAGCGCTAAGGTTATTTCCGCGCTGCCTGTGTTTTTAGGTTTCTATCATTTTAAAAGGAAGGGTCGAAATATGCTTTCTTTTATTGAAGTGTTCCTGAGACAAGCAGGGCTAACACGTAAAGGCGACATAAAAGCAAAACCTAGTGGGTCAATCTTCCTTTTTATACTGTTCCCCAAGGGAAACCGACGATTGCTGGTGACGCTGACTCAATGAAATCGGAAGCAAAATCAAGAAAATGAACACAAAAATGGATTCATTAATGGTTCCTAAGACCGAAAACATGTTTCTAGCGCAAATAAAGGTCATGATATTAATTTGAAGGCGATGTCAGCATTGACTGCCAATGTAAGGTTGAACAATACATTCAGTTGAGTTATGGAAGAGAGAGCTGTGAGCTGTGTAGAATACATAAAGAATGGTCTCCAAGGTCAATCCAAGGCTTGTTAAACTCCCCTGCATCAATTCCCATTCGAGTTCTCAGGTTGTTTTATGATTCAGGCAAAGCAGATCGTGATGTATTTGACAAAAGAAACGTTGGTATTCACCTGCATGAAAAACCGCAGTGAAGAAGACACTGGGCAGTGCTCAAAACTAATATAGCCCGAATATCAGTGTTTCCGGGGGGAGGAGGGAGAGAATGAATGGAGAGGAAGGCCTAAATTCAGGCTAAACAAACAGGAATGTCTACACTCCTAAAACTCAAACCAATTTATCTATAAATTACATGTTTATAGTTTATTTTCTTTGAATCGGAGCAACCATCAATCGAACAAAAGATTTTGTCATTTATTGTCTGTTGTGAACTGCTAAACCAATCATAATGGAGGTATGAGCGCTAAATATCATGAATTATTTACTTACCCGTAGGCTGGTACATACCAGTAAGGTCTTGAAGGCGCTATGGAGATATGCTTTGCCTTAAGTTATTATCAATTTTAATCAGGAAAAACGAGAATCAGTGTATTTTCACAAATTTAAAAACGCTTGCCCTTCAAGTCTTCATATATCATCTTGACAATTCCTTCTACAAGTCAAACATTTGCGTCCTAAAGGGATTCACTTTCTGGAATCGATTGATCATTCGTTGTCTTAGCAAGAGCGGAGGCGATTAAAGATCGTGATCTGGCTAATTTATTCGCTACAATATTTTTTCATCTGGCGCTGCTCGAGTTTTAGGCGAGAAAATAGTCGCAAGATTTGCTGAATGTGTGATGCGCGGGGGCTTGAAAGCGACAAACGGAGCCAGTCTCTGGAAATCAGTTTATCTCAGCGGTTTTTATTTCACTAAATGGTCTGGATCAGCCAAAGTGACGATGAAATTCGTGTAATAACAAATGGGACGAAGAAGAATACATTCCGGGGAAAACTGGCAAAATGGCCCTTGATCAGCAAAGAGGAAATCAACCTGCTTCATACGAAGGATCTACCGGGACAAACAATGAACCTTTTAACTCAAATCACGGTACTTCAAACAGCCATGCTGACACCACTATGTATCAAACTAATCCGGAGAGCCAGTATGCAAATTCTGGTGCAGGAGCGCCATACTATCACCCAGAGAGAAGCCACGGGCCACGATTAGGACTCATAAGAGGCTATCACCGTCAAATGTATGAACCTATACCCCAGAAGGGACCTTGCTGTGCTGAATGTTCCCCAGAAGACTCGAAGGGTACTGCCGCTTCTTTGGAAGGCTGCAACTGGGGAGTGGCATTTGGTTGCGTGTTGTTAGTAATCGGTGTTATAGCAGTTCTTATGGGGTTTTTAGTGCCGCAAAAACCCACATCAAGACAAGGAAAATTAACTGCTGTGGAGAAAAATGAACTACACCAGATTAATCTTTTCGTTGATATATTTGTGATATCTGGTCTGTCAGTTCTCTCTATAGGAGGTTTACTGATAGCAGTGGCGTTACTTCTGCCTTTGTTCCGAAGAAAAACCGATCATCGCTACGATGAACCGGTCAGGTACTTTGGAAGCGAGGTGTATGTCAAGGCCGAAGATGTACCTATGACTAAGTCTGGAAAGCCGTCAATAGATTTGGGATTTCATAAGGATGTTGTACCAGCAGATATTGCCTTGCGCAAAATCCAACCAGAAAGAGAAAAGAGCGAACCCATTGATTTAGTGGCACAAACAAAATAACTTTTTCTAGGGGACCGCTCACTGGAGATACCATATGCAAAGGGTCGCTTTAAATGTCCCTTAATTTAAAATTGTTTTCACGCTATAGGTACTTTTTAAAGGGAACCATGGTCATTTTTATACTTACACAAATAAATAAAACCGGGTCAGTTTATACCAAATACAATTTCAGCATTTACAGTGTAAGGGTAAAGTACCAGTAATACAGCTAGTTTGCTTCCAGGCTAACAATTAATCTCTGCCTCACTGTGAGGAGTGGGGTAATTAAATTATTTTCTGAATGAAAAAATAACTCCTGTCTCATCCCTCCCTTGAAAACTATAGTTTACTGAAAGAGTTTTGCTCCCTTGTGCGCAAAGAAACACATTTGAAATCACGAATACTCTAAATCCACTTATAAAGCCCCCTCTTGCAAGACTAACATCGTGTGCTTGAGCATTTCCACTTTGTGTCCTAGTTCTTTATATGAAGAATTGATACCATCTTCTGGTTGTTAGAAAGAGCAGTATGGTGCTCCATTTCGGTAAATTAATTAAGCTCCTCCGTCAAAAGTGCTTAAAATAATTAAGCCCCCTGGGGGACTTAATAGAGAAATTACGGTGGATGGTTCTATGAAAACAGATGTGGCGTCTGCTATATTATCATCTCAAAAAGTTCTCTATGATCATTCAATGAAAAATGTCTTAAAAAGTAATTTCCGAATTCCCGTAAGATGAACCAAAGATTAGAAAGAAAAGTGTGAGGGAATTATTTTACTCCCAGAACGCAAACACGCTTTGTACACCTTTCACCCATAAAAAGTCTCCAGGTAACGGTGGAATTCGCATTAAATTTCATGTAGCCTTATGAAATTTAGGGACTGAGCCTTTTTTTAAAAAGGTGTAAACTGAAGCATTTGAAAAAGGAAATATGTCTGAAAAACGAGCAGTCCTATGTAAATGAAAAAAGGAAAACGAGTGCACTAAATAGAAAATTAGCGTCCTACCTCGCTTCTTTAAAAATGTAGACGCCAAAATAACTATAACAGAGTTAAAAATGTCTATCATATCAAGTATTGTTCACAACAATAAACCGGATACGTCCAAGACGATAGTGCATTCAGGGAAACGATGGCATCTATTCTCGACTCCCAGGGGCACTCCCTTTTTTTGGCCAAAACATTTATGTGCCGCTGAAGAAGGTATGGTTTCCAGGGTCCTGAGTCGGGTAGGGAAGGAGCCGGCTCCTGAACAGGGTATATAATTTCACCATTTAGTAGCCTCTACAACAGGGTGTTTTTTTCCTACCGGAAGCCTTTAAAAGATTGTTTGAAGGTTGGCGATGAGTGTTTCACATGTATGGTACCAACAATTTTTTTCCAAAAAATCTAATTTCATGATGCTGGTTTTAAATAATTACTTAATTTTGTATGCGAAATGAAATGAATGAGGGTCATGAAATAAGTCTCGTGGCTACAGCAACGCTTTCAGATTTTAATTAACTCAGCATAGCTAGGCTCTATTTAAACGTAAATATTTCCAAAATTGAAGCCGGGCTATAATGGATAGGGTAGCTTAAGGATAATCAGATAAAAATGGCCCAATGAACCTATAGAGCTTACGACTTAAGGGGCCTTTTAATTTACGACAAATTGGCGGTTATTATTTCTTATATCTAGAAGTCCCGGGTAGAAGAATCACTGACTTATCTGATCCAAACTGGGTGAGCCACCTTTTTTCTACATTTGCTTACAAAGCGTGGCAAACCGTTTATTTGAGAAACAAAGGGTTGGCTTGGCTAGGAGGATGACCCGCCATGCAGCCGGGGCACTGCCCTTTGTGATGGCACGATCGCCCTCTTACCCGGGCCAACATTTCTACATGTAATCACTTCTGTTGCGCCGCCCAACGCCACTTATTGGCATGGGCAAAGGGGTCAATTTTCTTCTCATATAAACGCTCGCTTGGCGTGGATGGGAGGGTGGCCCCCTTTCCCGGAAAACATTTCTCCATTGGGCAATGTCTATTGAGAGCATTATACAACTATTTGAGATCAATAATATTTTGATCCTTTTTAGGCATACCGTAAAATTCCGAAAATAAGCCCCTCCATGTATAAAATTTATGAACCAAGCTCGTTTGACGCAAAAACCTTTGCCGTAAATAAGCCCTTAAAGAATAATAATATTTTGTCCGCTCCAAAACTAAGCCCCTCAAAAAGGGCCTTTTGAAAAAATATAAGAATATTCTCCAGGCTAAAAATTATTTTTAACCTAATTACAATTAATTTTTGTAATAATGATTTACAATAATTTGAGTCAAAATGACTATTAAACCAGAAACTGAAAAGTCCTGCTTGCTACTCTAATACCATGAGAAATTTATATGAACTAGCAGATTATTAGGATGTTTGATTGTACAATGATTATGTTCCTTGAAGGTTCTGTCAAATTGATGGAATACTATTTTAAGTTGTGTTGCGAAAGGAAAATTTAAAGATTTGTACTTTTCATTTTATTAAAATTACGGTTCCTACGCGTTTCGCCTTTAAAAAAACATAATTCCATTACTTTTTGTGACTTATTCTCGCTGACGTATTCTGTTTTGATTAACGTGGGTATTCCTCCTGTGGAAATCGCTCAGGATAACGATTTAGAACCTCACAAATGACATTTCTGTTTTTCAGTCGCTTAAAAGAACGTTTTTCTGTAATTCTGTAACACATCTCTAGTCCCTCCTTCATCGCTGTTTCCATTTCCTCAATACTTTCCATTTTGTAGTGTAAAATGGCCTGTTGAGTCTTCACCATGACTTTCCACATATGTTCTTCCTCCAATTCTTTCTCAGCAACGTTTTCAGCTCTTTGGAGTAGTATTTTTGCTTCTTCAAAATTATCTTTCCTCATATGGCAAATTCCATAATTTTTTAGCAATAAGATGCTTTCTTTTTTCTCACTCATTCCTAGTCTCGCCATCATTTCCATTGCCATTTTGTAGAACTCAAGCGGAGTTTTATCCAAGTCAGGTCTAGTAAAGAGAAGAAAGTCTGCAATGTCCTTAAGGCACTGAGCCGTCATAAAATGGTCCCCAAGTTTCGTTTTGAAGCGGTCTAATGCTTTAAAAAGAATTTTCTCTGCTTCTTTAATGTTTTTGCTTCGTGTTTCGTTCCTTCCAGCAAACAGTAAGGTAGCAGCCGCTTCAGGGTGGTCAGGTATATGTTTCTTACAGATATCCAAAGCGGCGTCGTATGCCTTTTTTGGTTCGGGATCTTTGAATAACTTTTTTTCAGAAAGGAATCGGGCATGACTGTGAAGATACATTACTTGTGAGAGCGGCTTTTTCTCAAATTCAGAAGCATTCTTCTTGTAAAGTTTCTGGGCATCTTCCATGTGATCATTGTATTTACTCTTTTCTCCCACTTTTCTCATTTCATGCCCAAGAAGACACAAAAGTTCAACAACGTGAACGGGCTGGGCCTCTCTATCAAACGATTCTAGCATCTTTTTCAATATTTGAACATAGAAAGTCGGCCGGACACATTTTTCTAGATACATGCACTTCTGGGAAAAATCTTCAAGAAACCTTTGGGAGCTATTTTCAATCTCTGGATCGTCGTTCATCATTTCCTTGCAGAAGAAATCAAGGAAATACTCAAAGTTTTCCCTGTCCTCATTGAAAGACTCAATGGATGCTTTGCAGTTGTCCTTGCTCCAGAACATCTTCGCATTTTTATTGAGAAGAGACATAAAGAGAACACAAGCCAGTTTTCTCCCTGCCGCTAAAAGTTGAGAATCACCAGGTCGATTGATTTTGCTCGCAAAGGCACGGATTAGTGGATGCAGCTGATATCTGCGGGCACTTGGAGTCTCGACAAGAGATCTGTTCTTCAAGGAGCGCAATACGGAAAAAGGCAAAGCTCCAGACTCCTGACATACTTTCAATATCACGGCTTCGGCAGCATCACAAATAAATGACCCGGGAAAAACGGACATCAGAACCAAGGAGTCTTGTTTATCTTTACTTAAAAGGTCGAAAGACGTTTTGATTGCCATTCGGACAGATTTGTTATCATCATCGAGAACTGCCATAGGCTTCTTCTTAAGGTTTTCTATCAGTTTCTCCTCGGTATAGTCTGACAGAAGTGAACCAACAATGCACAGCGGTAAAGGAACATAACCACACAGCTCAACTATTTCGTCAGTCCTAGAAAGCTTCCTTCGAACACCTTCATCGTTCACACGAGAGAGAAGGACGTTCTTTGCCTGGTTGGGTGATAAAGGGCTCAGTCTAACGATTTCCATTGACAGGTCTGGATCTTCAAATTGGTTTCTAGAAGTGACCACAAAAGTGACTTTCTTGTGCGATAATTCTCTTATCAAAGTCAAGATTTCCAAGAACTTCTTTCTTTCTCCAGATTCGAGTACACCATCTACATTGTCCAGAACAAACGTGACTCGCATTTGAATCTGCTTGCTCCATTCCTTGAGCCACTGTTCCGGATTTTCTGGCAGCTGTGTTAGGGTCTTGTAGCTTTCACATGAGTGAGCCATCAGAATCATTTCACTGGCTACTTCGTTGAAGGTTTTTCTTGACAGTAAGCGGCAAAACAACACACATCTTCTTTCAAATTTCGCTGCTAAATCGTGAGCGACTTCTTTAGCTAGAGCAGTTTTACCAAATCCTGGTCCCCCAGTTATTAACACCATAGCAACTGTTTCGCTTTCGATGTTGTCTCCGACAAGCTTTAACTCTTGAGAACGACCAAACATGTGCTCCCTGGGTACAACATCTGGAAGGCAGCTCTGGAGTCGAGACACGGCTTCAAGCGTATCAAGCTCTTGCACATTTTGCCACTGCTTGATTTCTTCCTCCACGAGCTTACGAGTTTCATGGTCAATACTGTCATTTTTTAGCCTCTCAATATTCTTTCGGTATACGCCAATTTCAATTGTCCTCCAATGAAGAAACTATCTTATTCCACTTGTCTTCGAACCCGTCGTTAGGAATGCCAGTTGACACACTGTGACACAAGTCATTTCTGAAGAATTTAATTCTGGTGATATTTGCCTCTAAGCTTTCATCGTCTTCAGGAGGCATTTTGTGCCAGCCATTTAAAGGCGCAGGTAGATAACAAACTTCTCGGATCAACAAATGTAAAAGCGTTAGATCAAATGTGTTAGGATCCGGCGGATCACCTGAGGGCGGAAATAACTTATCCCACTGCTGATCGAATATTACTCGTCTTGACCTGAGAGTTTTAAACCTTGCATAGTTATTCTTTAACTCATCGGCGAGTGATTGTGGCTTAGGATAAACAGAATCGAGAAACTTTCTTAGAACGTCAGTTCCACCATCAATGAGTAATCTTCCTAGTCTTGTGCCATTTGTCTTTTCTTTTGAAGTGTCAAAAACAGATGAGCAAGACGAAGACGAACCTGTCGCCATTGTTGTAGTCGATTTTCAGGGCGATACTAAGCTGGCCAAGCGGAGAAAATTCAACCTTCTTTCGAAACGGTTACATTTTAACGAGAAACCTTTGACAACTGAACGGGCCCGTTTGATTCTTGAGTCTGCGAGGCGATTCTTCGAAGCTGTAAATTGCTTTTATCCTGAACGCAGCTAAACACAGCTGTAAACAGCTAGATGTGATACCTGTAAAAAAAAAGATGCGGAAAGTTTTACAGCGGTGCCGATTTCTTAGGGTTTTGTGCTCTTGATTTATGTGCTGCCGGTTCAGACTCGACAAAAAATGGGTCGGCTCAAAGCGCTGATTAAGCGTTAAACTATCGCTGTTCCCTTCTCGGAAACTTTTTTCTAGCTGAGTACCGTTTCTAGGAAATTTTTGTTTCCGGGTTTGGGGATCGGAGGGCCAATTCATGTCCAGAGGCCAGCCAATCATAATGACGGGTACAAATCTAGCTCTTTGAAAACGATCCTCTTTCTATTTTTAAATGATGATGTATAGATATGTATAACTTGTCCTACGTTTTATCTTTTGTCTCGTATATTAAGTATTTTTCGTTATTAGACTGGTTTACTTTGGTCCTTTCTTTTGCAATGCCTATATTGATTCCGTATTCTTCATTTTGTTTTGTTAATTTGGCCTCAAGTAGCTGTAGGTGGCCGATTCCACGAAATACGAAGCAATGTTTCTCAGAAACATTCTAATTTTGTCTTCTTTAGATCAAATGACTTTTAAGCCGCCTTTTTTTGACGGGGATACTTGATATCGCTCCATATTGTCTTGATACGGTTCACGTCATGACGAGATTCATACGACTTTGAAATTCACCACAGGGAGGAAGTTCCGATTTCTGGTGTCCTTGTAAAAACCTATTTAGGATTCAGACTAATGCGCTCAGTACTGTTGTACGCCTGCGAAACCTGGACATTGACAGCGGACATCCTCAAGAAATTGCAGGCCACTGAGATGAGATGCGTTAGGAAATTGCTTGGCATCTCATACAGAGATCACATAACTAACGATGCAGTCAGAGACAGACATTGGGCCCTATGATGATATGTTAACCACAGTAAAGAAACACAAGTTAAAGTGGTTTGGGCAGGTATCAAGATCATCGGGGCTTGCCAAGACAATTTTACAAGAAACAGTGCAAGGAGGGAGATGACGGGGGAGACAAAAGGAGCGTTGGGAGAACTGAATAACGTCTCTGAGTGAACAGTGTTGAAGTTTTGTAACGCCCTAAGAGTAGCTGAAAACAAATAAAGAGAAAGGGTTGCTATATCCGTGGCGCCCGAACGATCACTGACTACGAGATAGGTGCAAGGTGCAAGGTGCAATAGCCGTCAATCTGTCATGACTTGTGTACTTTGCGTTACCGATCGAAGACGAAACGAAAGACAGATGCTAATTTGTATCACAATGCGATCTCGCGCGACCTTTCAAAGCAGGCATGAAAATGGCGCGTTCGTCGGGAAAAGCATCTTCAGTCTTTAGACCCTCGCTTGCCAAAAAAACGTAATCTCGTACGCTGTATTTACCAAATCAGTAACCAAATGGTTTTACCGCCAATTGGAATTCATAATTTTAAGCTATTTATGTAGAGATGATGTTTTGGAAGTAGCAGAGCCATGACTTGGTCGATATTGCCGATAGTACTAGCTCTCTAGTCAACCCATCCAGGTTTGGTTTTTCAAAGAGGAAAGATCATGTTCTTGTCGTTTCAACTTTAGCCCGAGCCTTTAATACGCACCAGAAAGCGGGTTTAAAGCGATCAACTAGAAAATATAGCGGGAAGCGGTCAGAGAAGTCAGAGAAAGCGTTTCGTCGAGCGGGGAAGATCTGAAAAAGGTAACTTGGTCGTGACTAAATTGGGGAAATCAAAATGAGGGATTCATTCGAGAAGTAATATCGTATGATTCCCTGACGGTGGCCGATAAGCGTCGAGTCAGAAACTCGGGCATTCACGTTGTTGTTGATTATGTATGGTTAAATAATTTTTATTGAGGGTCGCTGCTGGACTCAGCTGTACGGTGATGCTCTCCAACCCTTCTCCAATTTTCTAACCATCGCTTTCACTAAATCCTTAGAGACTTTTTCGTACGAGCGTGAGGACCGAGCGCTTACAGGTTGGGCGGCCATCTTAGTATATATAGTACCGAGGGTGCGGGCGTCGGGGTTTGTAGCGGTAGGGGAGGAACAAGAACTGCTCACTGTGCCACTGGCTAAACTAAAGACTTATGGAGATCGGGCGTTCAGCATTGCTGCGTCAAGGCAATGGAATACCTTGCCTCTTAGCATTCGTAAATCTCCATCAATCGCTATTTTTAAAAGACATTTGAAGACTTATCTTTTTAAAGAAGCCTATGGTTTTTAACTTTTATTTTTAATACACTTTTTTTTTCTTTCATTATCTGTAATTTTATCTTAGTATTTTTAGACCTTAGATTTTGAACTTTCATTTTTTGTATAATGTATATATATTTTTTAAGCATTGTAACTAATTTATCTCGGTATTTTATTATATTTTTTAGCTTTTAGGTTCTACGTTAACCTGATCATTGTAAAGCGCTATGAAAGAGTAGCTGAATAGCACCATATAAATTAGTAATATTATTATTATTATTGTTATTAGGGGAAGGGAGGCTATTTCTCTCGCTTTCTCGGAAACCGTCCCCCGTCCCCTAAGTAGATTTGACACTCACCCACGATGGGATGCCCGTGGTGAACGTCGGGAAGCGATTTCCAAGTCATGTGTGTTGGACACCAGTTAGTAGCTAGGGTTACATAATATCTGTTTCTTGTTTACTCTTGACGCAAGCATCCCAAATCATCAAGAAGCTCAGTCACGAGAAAAAGTTCAAGTTGACGTAGCCTTCGTTTCTCTTTTTGAAAACTGCAAATTAAGGCGCTGAAAACTTCTTTTTTAGCCAGCTGATGTAATTGTACCGAATGAATTTAAGAACGGATGAAATAAACTTGCCGGTTGATCTCCAGCCTTCATTTTTGCTATTTGTCCTTTATAGGATCACTTTCATGTGCATGTTATTATGCTCAGAATTAAAAATATGTAATGGGTCCTGAAGACTGCTACTTTGGAATGAATTACTGAGGAACGATCCCTGCAGACTCAGCCGCGTGCCACACGCGATGTTACTGAACATCAGCAGAGCCGATTTATGATTGGTTGAGCTCCATGGAAACAATAGGAGTCAAAAATCGCTGGAAATATGGCTCTTGAGGAAAGTTGAAAATTACAGTTTTTGGCTCCAGGGCCTCAGTCTGCTTAGAATTTTGATTCGTCAATGGTTTACAAGAAAATGTATTGAAACTTTTTTCACGATTATCATCCCATGAATGAGACATTCGCTGTGGTGTGGTCTTTGATGATCCCCAGTTTTCCTAAAAAAAAGGTTCCTAAGGGGTCTATAGTCACGCTAAAAAGTCTTTCATTATGGAAAGGTCACTTGCTTACATTGTAATCAAGACAACTGTTATGAAAATTTGACAGTTTTAAATTCGTCTTACGCCCAGGTCAACTGCTGAAGATTTTTATTCGACCGATAGGCCAGACAACTCAAGCAGAATTCTCGTCGCCTTTTAATAGCTTATTTGGGCCTTCCTTCAGTATTCAACGTTCAATATCGACGTTTGATTTCTTCGGCAATCTCTACAGAAAAGCAGCTGTTTAATCCAAACGGTTTCCATATATAATTCGTCAAAAAAATCAGACGAGACAAGCTTTATGAATAATTTAATTGCCCTAATATTTGAGTTTCCGCTATAAAGGACGGTTTCATTTTCAAGAATAAATAGAATGACACTTCTTAGCCTCCGTTTCCTATTTTTAACCATCAGTTCATTTCTTTTGCGGATGTTTAGATATCTAATTTTCGTTTTTTGCATTAATTATTTTGTATAAAAAATATCCAACCATAATTTGCGATAAAATCGGCGACCGTTCGATTCCACTGAACAGTGTTAAGAGGCGAATTAGTAAAATAAAATAAATTAAAATAAAATATGAACTGGTAGCCTCGCAAATTATATGGAAAAAACTGAATGCTTCTGATAATTTGAAAAACCTATACGCTTTGCTTTAGTTTGTTTTCAATAATAATTGTAAATTATTCCTCTTCCTCTTCATCAAATGAATTTTTCCATTTTCCAGTTTTCTTCCTGAATTCTCCTGTTTTTCCCGAAGAGCCAGCTACGCTTTCCGCTTTTGGCTCAGGTTGTACATTGTGTACAAGTGCGAGAACTGGGATTTTTTGGATCGTCGAAGATGAAGCGCTACTCAATGATCGAGTGTCCTCTGAGGCCATCGACGCATTTTTCTGCGGTGTTTTTGTTTTCGTCACTAAGCTCGCCGTTGAATATTCATCAGTCGGAGCTTTCACATATTGTCCTTTCTTGTGGCTTGGTGAGGATCGGCAAACTGGAATTATAAGTATGACACAAAACATTAAAGCTCCAAGTGGTACAAGAGCTGTTCCTACTAATGTAAAATCATCCAACATGGTGTTAAAGGTAATGGCGGTAGGATCAACAACTGTGCGAGAGCCATCGCTTTTCTCTAGGTAAACGACGGATCTTCGAGGAATCAAGTACCCAACAAGCATAAATGTGACGCCAATCAGAAGAATGAGAATGGAGAGCGTTAGTAAAACGAGTGTTTTTCCACTATAAAGCGAAGACATAGATGTACCACATTTGCACTCGTGAGGGCAAAGTTTTTCGGCCTCGGGAGAAGTGTCTCCAGTAAACATGTGATGATGCAGATAGCGTATACCAAAGCGCGACTCCGCGTTCGAGCTTTTCGCGCGCGAAGAAGAAGAACGTGAACGCGTTTTGCGAGGTTTCTTTGATTGATCCATCACTACTCAGAGTTCTTCTACTATGTCTTGTTTTAATAGAACATATGTTCGTCGTTACTTCAGGGTGAATTGCTGCAGTTGTATCTCTTTCTCTGAGATCAGATTAAAAGCATTTGTATTTAAACTCTCTTTCGGTTTCCGTAGTTAGTAAGTAGTCTTTCCACGATTTAAGTTAATTCCTAAAAACATCAAAATATTGATTTAAGGCTAGACTTCAGAGAGTTGACATTTTCTCGAGTCAAATCCAGCAAACTTCAATTTTGTGAAATATTTCCTGCCAGTAAATCCCCCTGCAAAAGACTAACTACGAATTCAGTGTATATTATGAATTCGCGTCACGCCGAATACGAAACACAACACACGGTGAAATAAAAGTGTTCCCAGTGGCCTTTGAAAATCACGACTCTCTCCTTCAACGGGAATCAGATGGAGTATAAAATGTGAGATCATCGTAAAAATGTAAAATCTTAACCGTCGTTCGAGTAACACCGCCAATGTGGCAGCGCTTTGAATACGCTAAGAAACATGTTAATCACTTTTGTTTGAATAGATCAGCTGTTTAGTTGCGATCACCTTCCCCGCAGAATTTCGCGCGTCAAAACAAACTACACTCTGTTCTTATTGGCTCTTGAGATTCATATCCGGACCGTAAGGCCTTCTATTGGTTGAATTTTGAACAATAAAGATCTTGGTACCAATGTACACGTGGCGCTGATTTAATGCTGAATTATATCAAGTTATAATCATGACCGAACCTACAACTCCCACTAGGAGTCGAGTCGGCCTACTCTGTTAAACGTCGCATGAAAGAGGAAGAATACGAGAGTTTCAGTTGAAAACAGTTTAAGCTGAAGTGATTTAAGAGGGCCAGTTTCTGGGCGAATCTTTGTTTACACTTTTTGCCTCATTAACATATGCTTTTCACTTTCTTATGACGCTAATAAAATAAAAACTCTGAATATTTAAAGGGCATAACAGTTTCAGTTATCTCTGAAAATTTGAGCCCAATACACCGAATGGTTTCGGAGAAATTCTCTTTTAAAAACTCAAAATTTTACAGAGAATGTATGGCTCATTAACTTTTTGCTATTCGCTTTTTGATTTTGATATTTCCTTCAATATTGCCCTGTTAAATTGTTTTATCGGCTCTTTCGACTTTTGCTTTAAAACAGGTGGGAGAAAAAGGAAAAATGTAAACAATGACGTCAGCAAAGATTCGCCTTAGGAGCGTAATTAACAAACCAATAACACCCACACGTTTCCCGCATTTTAAAAACCGTGTTGGGAAATCCAACACACTGAACCCAACTTTTCTATGCTTTGTTTTCTTTCCCGTTATTGTTTAAGGAGAGCTAAAAACAGGTGGGAGAAAAAATTAAACAATGCACCACCAAAAAAAGAAAGAAATGGAATAAAATCTACATATACTGAGAAATTTGTATTGGTTTCTGCGGTAACCGTAAGCCAGTTTGAGCATTATTACCATAAATTTGTTTACCGGTTTTGTGCTCAATGGCCGAGCATTGGCGTGAATCATTAACCAAGCTGTTTCTCTAGCCTGTGAACAGGATATGTTGGGAATAAGGGAAAAGACTAAGCTCTTGTAAGAAAACCAGAGATAAGCACAAGTCTGTTTTTCGCATCATAAAAGAGAAGATGAGGCGAACACTGCTTTTCAAAACTTTATTCACCTTTGATCATTATCAGTCTGATCATACATGAAAAAAAAAAGGAAACACAACAAAAAAGACATATATAGTAGACTGGCCGAGTTTTTGATTAATTGACACCAGCTTTCGTTAAATGACATAAACTCCCCAGTTTTCTCACTTGAATTCACAATTGTCCGCGCAGCTTTAAAAAAATAATTTGATTTTTTTGAGTGTACAACTCAAACGTACTTGAACAAGACAAAAAAGGAGGTCTTCTGTCTCCAAAAAGAGGTGGTCTGACAATTTTACAAACTTGTTTGAAACCATTATTAGATGTCTTGATTCCGTAGTTCAACAACCTGTGTGGTTTAAAAACTGAATGTTGGTGACAGCCCCGATAAGCGCAACACATACAGCTGAACCCAGTTCTAAAACGGCCACATTGAGGACAGAAGAGAAAGTGGCAGGAACCCATGTAGAGAAGTGGCCGTTAGTGGAGGTTCGACGGCTGTAATTAATTAAGTTTTATTTCCCATGAAAATAACAATAAAACATAAAAATGTGACAAGGCTCTCTCCTAAAAAGAAGAATCGAATAATATTTTATCGGCTTGGACAGTGATTTTCTTTCTATCGGACGCAAACTGTAAAACAAACTAAATGAGAAAGGAAAACAGAGCAAAAAAGCAAAAAGGGAAGCCTTAGATTAACCGTAACTTCAAGCCTGCGAATACAGGCTTCTCCCGTCGCTGCTACTGGCCCAAAGAAACGTCTCGAGAGACGGGCTGTATTCGCAGGCCAAGTTAACCTCAGAACACACAAAAAAGTGCAGCCTCGTTCCCAGTCGTCCTCGGCGATTTCGGATATGACGTCACCTGTCAAGCTTGTCGGGAAAGTTCGCCGAGGACTATCGCACTTGGTTCCAAGCCTCCTCTGGTAACTCGGATAGCGTGAACTGGCCTGGGTACGAGGCTGAAAAAAGTGCACATCAAAATTCAACCTCGTTTCCAGGTTAGGAGAGGACCCTGGGAAAGAGGTTGATCAAAAGTCACCTACTAAGTTCTCCGGATAAGCCTCTGGATAACAATTCAAAAAATGGTAGATGTCGTGTCTGTTCCCCAAGTGATCAACTGAAAGGTATAACCTGCAACACATCTCCAGCGAGTTTTTCATGACTTCTATTGCTTTGTCAATAAACCCAAAGTCCTCGTGCAAGAGAGCTAGTTGAGTGTCAATCATTACCTTCCACCTATGATCATCTTCCAACTCAATCTCAGCAATCCGCTTTGCTTTCTCTAGGTATTTCATTGCCTCCTCGTAGTTGCCTTTTCGTCTCTGACAACTAGCATAGTTTTTAAGAGTCAATGTGGTCTCCTTCTGACCGCTCATGCCACATTTCTTCATCATTTCTAGAGCTAGCATGTAGTGATACAAGGACATGTTTAACTCCTTTTCTGTGTCTCGATGTGCAAAATAGACGTCAGCGATAGCTTTATGGCCTTGAGCAGTCATGTAGTGTTCTCCTAGGCATTGTGTCAAAAGCTCTGTTGCTTCCTGAAGTAGCGGGATACTCTTTCGGTGTTTACCAATAAGTAACTTAGTCACTGCTCTTTCAGGATGTCCCAAGAGCTTCTTATCGCACAATATTAATGCTATTTCATAAACTTTGTTACTCATTTTTTTAAACGTTTTGATTCGTTTTTCAAAGACAAGACGGGCGTAGCTATTAAAGAAAAAAACTTGAGACAACCCATTTGTTCTAAATTCAGTGTAATTCCAATGATAAATACATTTAGCTTGTTCCATAAGGTTGATATAATCCACACGACGGCCAATCTTTCTCAGCTCATTTGCAAGAAGGCATGAAAGTTCCACCGTGTGTAATGGTTGGTTCCCCTTGTTGAAATGCGTCAAAAGCGTTTCTAGAACGGTTATATAAAAACTTGGCGGAAGGCACATTTCCAGGTACATACATTTTTGTGGAAATTGGTCAAGAAATTTCTTTGTACAGCTCTCAAGAAAGGGATCGAGGTACGGATGTTCCGCCATTGTTTTAACATAGACTTGCAGAAAGTATTCAAAGTTATATCTTTCACTGTTAAAGGCCTCTATGGACTCTCTACATTTGTCTTTGCTCCAGTACAGTTGAGCAGCATCATCGAGACGTGAAATGAAATGTGCACAAGCTACTTTCTCGACGTCAGCAAATACCCGCGGGTGATAGTTAGTTTCATCAGTCTTCCTTGCAAATGCCTGAATGAGTTGATGGACTTGGAATTTACCAGAACTGGGTTGCTCTAAAAGGGACCTGTTTTTTAAGGAACGAAGAATCGTCATCGTCTGTGACGCGGCAGATTGATTAATTGTTGCAGTCACATAATTAGCAGCATCAAAATCGAAGGAACCCGGAAATACGGAAAGTAAAGCAAGTACCTTCAGTTCTTGTGGCTCCAAGAGATCAAACGAGGTCTTGATTGTGTTTTCCAGGGAGAATTCATCGTCCTGAAGAACATTTAATAGTTCCTTTTCAAGACTATTAATCAGCGTATCTTCTTCGAAGTCGGAAAGTAGAGAACCTACAATGCAAAGCGCGAGAGGAACACAGCCACATAACTCCACCATCCTTTTTGTCTGTGAAAGTTTCTTTCTTGTTTCTGCCTTGTATTTTGAAAGCAGCAGTTTAGTTGCTTCATCTTGAGACAAATTGCTTAATCTTATTTCTTCGATTACTAAATGGTAACCAGCAGCATTAAATGTTTTCCTAGAAGTAATTACAAAAGTGATATTTTGTTTTGATAAGTTCCTCATATCGCAGATCATTCTTACAAACTGACTACGGCTCTCCTGAGACTCAAGAGCATCATCCGCATTGTCAAGAACAAAAGTAATCTTCAGATCCAACTGTTGTTTGCTCCAGTTTAGAAGCCAGTGTTGGGGATTCTCTGGCGGCTGACATTGGTTTGTACTGCAGACAAGAATCATTGAAGAAGCTACTTCGTTCAAAGAAGCCTTGGATCGTAGAGAACAATAAAACACAACGTGCTGCAGTCTATCAAGCTCATAGGCCACTTTATTTGCTACAGTAGTCTTCCCGAATCCTGGTGCACCAGTTATCATAACAGCGGCGGCAGCTTCATTATGAATAACTTCTGTGGCTTTTTGAATATCTTTTGAGCGACCAAACACTTCTTGAAGCTCGTCTGGAAGACAGCTACGTAGACCAGGAGTACGAGGTTCTTGAACATTAATGCTTTGCAATTGCATTTGTACTTGTTCTAATTTCTGCTCTACAGAGAGTACTCTCGGCTCTAAATCTTTCCATCTCTTCATTTCTTCCTCTACACGACGTTTAGTGTCATGGTCGATGGGTTCTGTCTTAAGTTGGTCGATTTCTTTCATATCAAGACCTAATGCAACCAAAGAACGAGAAATAAAAGTCCATTTGGTTTGAAATTCGTCATTAGAAATGGCTGTAGAGATACTGTGACACAGCTCATTTCTGAAGCACTTGATTCGGACGATATGTGCTTCTCGACTGCTGTCTGTATCTGCAGGCATGTTGTGCCATCCCGTGACAGGCTCTACCAAATAGCATATTTCTCGTAGTAACAAATGTAAAAGCGTAATGTCAAACGTTTCAGCGTCCGGGGGAGAGCCTGAAGGGGGAAACAACTTTTCCCATTGGTCAACAAAAATCCTGCCTTTTGACTTCAGGTTTTGAAATATGGTTTCGTTTTTCTTTAACACTGTTGGCAATACTGCAGATAGGTATAAAGAATGAAGAAAGTCTCTAAGAACGCGTGTCCCTCCATCGATAACCAATCGAACCAATCTTGTGAAGTTCGTCTTTTCTTCAGTCGCATCAAAATAGGGAGGCTGAGAAGCCATGTGTTTTCAGCTTTTTGCATCACAAGTCAGCAAAACTTTGAATGATCTTTCGGATTTCTCAGAAGCTGTCGAAAGTTATTGGCAGCTTTCTTAGAATATGCAAATCACGAAGGGAAGTACTTTGAGGGGATCGATTTTTGGGCCACCGATTTGCCCAATCTCGCGTGATATTTCCTTTTTGTCTACCATTTCATTGGTTACTTGGCATGAGCCGACAAGTGGACACATTGTCTCTTAACAAAAGAATCGTTTTTCTTGGGGGTAATGTTACAAAACATCTTTCTCTTCAGCAGTACGTGTTTTTATCTTCTTGTCCTTTACTGGGTAACAAAATCGACAATGTTCTTTTAATTTGTGTTACGACCAGTAGGATTAAGGGAGTCGAGATACGCGAGCATGACCACAGTACCAGATGAAGCAATAACTATGAATTGTAAAAAAAAAAAACCTTATGGCCCCTCTTAAGACAATAGAAATGATTTTCGTCCACACTATACATATTTTTTAAAATCGTTTTTAGTCATTTCACCATCCACACTTCCCTGGTAGCATGGAATATCCATACTAACCAAGATAAAAAAATGCACTTTATTTGAATGTCAAGGTATTTAGCATCTTAGCACGAAAGGAGTAATTGGAGACACTATTTTTACGTCTCCAACCGGAGACGGGGCCGCCATTTTACGTGGTTATCCGAGCCACGCAAAGGTCTAGCCTCTTGAATGCAAAGGGAGTAACTTCATTTCTCAGTTATTTTAAGACCCTGAGTATTGGTCAGGCCCCGGGAATCGAACCCCCGACCTTCCACTCCGCAGTCAAGCGCTTTACCATCTCTGGGTTAGTGGGCAAAAGCCTATATGGTCCTTTCCCTGGGAGGTACTCCCTTATATGGCTTATACGGAGATGTGCCGCCGGACAGGGTATGCTCTTTGACCTCTCTGTCCCAAACAGGGTGTATGATTTGGCGCGAATCTACGCTAAACAGGGTATACAGGATATATAAGTTTGTGCAAGTCTGTCCTATAGAATTTACACCGATAGCAAATGCGCAGCATTGTATATACATAAGCAATTTGTCAGCTTTCGTCCCGACCCACCCACTCCATAAGCAGTTATGATTTTGTGATTTATACTTTTGATGGGCCTTGGGTATTGTATTATATCTATATTAGGGTAAATAAATCATCATCTGTATGTGTAGGATATGAATCCAATAGTGTTGTGAGTCTGATCTGGGGGGAGGGGGGCTTACGGTTGCTGAAGAATTTCTGACACTGTTTAAGACACAAAAATCCTAAAATACCGTAAAATTCCCAAAATAACCCCCCGGGGCTTATATTTTTCAAAGGCCCTTTTTGAGGGGCTTATTTTTGGAGGGGCCTATATTCGGAGGGGCTTACGTACGGAGGGAAATTTGCGTTATAAAATCGGTTGGGCTAGATTGTAGTGGAAAGGAAATTTACCATTTTTGCTTTGCTCTACTTTGTATTCGAGGGAAAATTTCAAGCACAAACCCCCTGGGAGGCTTATATTCGGAAGGTCGATTTAACGGAGGGTTTTTTGCGTTACGATTTTGGGGGGCTTATATTTGGAGGGGCTTATACATGCATGGAGGGGCTTATTTTCGAAATTTTACGGTACACTTCCCTGTTCAGCACAAAACCCTTAATTTTATTACCCTGTTTAGGACAAAGGACAGCTGAAAGGACCAAATGCACTCCGACTGGTTTTTAAAATCATTTATTGGCAATCTAAACCCCGGGGGGGGGGAGGGGTCCTGTATAGCGCCAACGTACCACCCCACCGACCCAAAGCCTGATGAATCTAGTCAAATCTTGTGCACACCTGCCGCGGTGCACACCGTCCGAGCTTTCAAATTCTTTTTAGTTCGACCTCGACTATTCGAAATTTATGAGAATATCGAAAAGGTTCATGTTATCGATATATAATGCGATGAATAAGATGATTCTTGAATTTTTTGCGATTTGTATAGTTTTGTGCTGAGCCTGCGCTGCCCGAGTGTCTGCACTTTACATTGGGAAGGCCTGGTACCGCAAAGGGAAAATTATGTTTCCAAGGCAACTGATCTTGACAGCAAAATGGCGGACAGTGTGCAAGTCGAAGAACCGCAAAGAAGGGCTGTTGGAGGAAGTATAACAACAGGAAGAATTCATAAAGGTATAAAGATTCATAAGTTCATGATAAATACTTCAGTTTTTACCAGTTATAGAAAGACGGAAACAGAGTAAATATAATATATAATATAAGCTTACTCAACAACGTTTTTTCATCGGGAGGCTCTGGCTGCGCTAGGGTCCAACCCCACACTCTTAATTCAGCTGTAAATTCGAGATTTCTTATTTGAAGAAAAAACTTTAAAACAAATCATAGAATTAGATTTTGTTCTTGGAAATTCAAACTGCCTGTTTAAATTACGGGAAAAAAGAGTTCTTATCCTACAAATGTTTCTCGTAAATAAGGAACCTTTTTATTACTAAATTGAGAGATTCGGAGCAATCTCGAATTTAGAATGCCAGTTTTGGCTTTAACAATCTAAATTTTACCAGGAGTCCATGATTAATTTTACTCAAAGAAAGCAAAAGAAACAAAAAAACTGTTTCTCTGGATGTATATGAAATTAATGTTCTTATTTTTATTGTGAACCCTCAATCACGTTAGATCTGACATGTGTAGCCATAACAAGCTAGTAGTAAGCTTAATTACAAGGAAAAGATTAGGATAACTTTTTTATTCACAGGTCATGGAAAAACAGCAGCATCAGCTTCGATACCAAGCAAATATCAAACAATAGTGAGTGACAACTCAGAAAGGAAAGGCTTTCTTTCTCGAGCGAAACGGTTTGGTGATGTGAATGTGGTATGTGTGTTTAAACATAATTTCTATCAAAAAAGTGTTTATACTGTAGACTAAATGCAATTTATTACATTGTATATGCTTCAGAAAATATCTGTTACTCTGATCACCCTATCGGAGGTTCTCTTGGTTTGAACCTGCTCCAAACCCCAATCCCTTTGAAAAATTACGTTTTAGCTTCATACTTTCCTTAAGTTACAAAAGTTTATAGCCTTTAAGATCCAAAAGAACCTTCTTTAATTGGTTTGTCTGAGAAAATGCAAATTGCAGATTCTTCAATCTTCGAAACAGATATTGCACTTCACTAAAAAGCCTTTTAGGATTTGTGGTACATTCTGTTCCTTTTAAACAGGTCGAAAAAAAATACATGTACTTCTTATTGTAAGCTGCATGCAGTATTCCCGATAATTGAAAAGTATTAGAACTGTCATGTTCTTGCTGGTTTGCACATGCTGGCATGCAGTGCTAATTAATTTGTTATCAAACTAACAAATCTGATAAAGTGAGTTAAAAATCTAAAGATTCCTTGGATAATTTCTCCTAAAGAAATGTGCCCATATGACCCTCCATACATGGGTTATTGAGTGGACATTTTCTGGAACACAATACTAAAGTATGCACCCATCTGCTTTAATATTTAAATATTTATAAATTTTTGTTTTGTTTTGCACTTTGTAGACTGCAAACCCAGGACCTGGTACTTATGGTGAAATGAGATCAAGTGAAACTACAAGTTCATCATTTTCAAAAAAAGGCTTTGGTGGATTTGTTTCTAAGGTAACCATTCTATATATATATATTATTATTTGAACATAAAGAAACTCAGTATTGCATATCCTGGTTTGCATGGGCCTGGAAAAGTCCTTGAAAAAGTACTATGTCCTTGAAAAGTCCTTGATTTTTCCACAGAAGTCCTTAAATATTTTTAAAACCTCCTTGAATAAAAATGACTTTTGTTAAAAAAGAAATGTTTTCTGTCATTTGAAGTGTCCTAGGAACCTTGCCTTAAAGAAGAAAGGTATTGCAATAGGTGAATGCCCTTCCACCTGTGCATTTTAAAGGTCTTTTCGTCATGTTATTGGGGAAAAGAAGTCCTTGAAAAAATGATTTTAGTCCTCGAAAAGGCCTTGATATTTTCTTAAAAAATTTTGTCTGAACTACGTACCAAGTCATGTATGTAAGAAGAAAAAGGCAGTAGTACATCAGAAATTATTTTAATTTAGTCTGAGTTCATTAATAATATTTTCTATGTTGGCCACATTTTTATTTCATTGGTTGCAGGCTAAACGTTTTCCAAGAGGAATTAAAGACACAGGTCCAGGCCCAGGTAAATATTAATTTCTTTATTTAAAGTTGCTGTTGTAATGCCTAAAATAATTGGTTTCACAGGGGTTTCAATAGAGTAACAGACTGTATCAATAGACCCCAGTCCCCTTATTTTAGGGGGAGGGGGTCTAGGGGCATGCTTTCCAGAAAATGTTGAAATTTGAAAGCCCTGAAATGCAACTTTCAGCATTCTGGGGACTAAATTGAGGACAAAAGAGAGTGTTTTTATTTAAGAAAATGTAGCTTTAATTCAACTTTCAATTTATCCGTTACGCAATACATTCCTACTTGTACAGGCAAATTATGAACAAATGATGAAAACTGAATTACTTACTTTTGCAGGTAAACAAATTCTGTGAAAAATTTACTGAAATATAGCGTTCAGTCATGACTAAAGTATAACGTAAAACCAGTGGGCCTTAATGAAAGCACATCATAATTACGTTTTCATTGAGATTTTATTATATATTTTTTTTTGTTTACAACGTTATTCCAACTAGTTTCTTCTTTTTTTCCTGGAAAAAGGTAGATGACTTCTATGAGCAAAGTAGCCAACGCATTTCATCGGCCTTCGGCGCTTATTGAAACCCCAAGTTTCACGGACCTGTACTCTGTGCACTCTTAAAATAGTACAATTGGTTATACATGCATGCCCTAAAGTAATCTTAATTCAGTTAACACAAACATAGCCCTCTGACACATTTTTCAGTTTTTTGGCCTCAAGAATACATTGTATCATTGCTTGTGTGGTAGTTTTTTAAGAAGTATTGTGGCATTACATTTTATTTTTATCATCAGTTTTTTGATAATACAACATCTTAATCAGCTGCCCACCCAGTGTGTATCCTTGAGTTCATTTCTCTTCATTTAAGTTTAAGGCCATCCCCTTTGATTTCTCCATATTTAGCTTCATTCGACCAACCCAATTTTTTGGCAATTTTTTCAAAAAAGAAAAAAGTAACGATGTAGTTAAACCATTTTTTACTTATTAATTCTTTTAATCTGAAGAATGAGCGTAGCAACAGCATAGAGAAAAACGGGAACATTTTTTGTACATTATATATTGTGCATTTTGTTAATCCTAATATTAAGTAAATATTATATACTTTGTCATCTTCATCGGCAACTATGATTTAAACTTAGTTTGAGAAATTCCAATATATCTCTGTTTTAATGATATATCCAGAAACGTCCTTTTCAAGCAGTTGCTGAAAACTAAGGGATCATGCAGGAGTTTCAGTGGTTGATCCTTTTTCTCATGTTGTATTAATTTTACTATAACATCAACCAAATGATTCTTCCACCATATTGATTTTGTGTTCAAAATTGTCTTTTTGTTTCCCAGTTTCTTCCAGGCTCCACAGCAATGATGCTGGGGGTGGTACCAGGCGTGCTTTTCTGAGACTTTTTCTAATTTTTCTAAGGATCTTTTTTTACACTGACCAACCAAGGTTGTTCCCAAAATCAGGAAATGCAATCGACAGTAAACAAGGAAAAAAAGGGGATGGCCTATTAAACTTTCATTTATAAATCAATAATTTATTTTTTATTGTCACATTGATTACAAACTTATGGCTTGTATTGGTGAAGGATAGAATGGAGAAAATGGGAAGAATTTTGTACTAAAAAAAATGGAAAATGATGTATTGTACTTAATGACCTTTTTAAGGATTTTATGACCCATTGACATCAAAGGAACACAACTTTAACAAATCTTCAGTGACAAGGTTAGTGTTCATGAAAATCAGTTTAATATTTATATATTTTATGAATGTGAATGAATTTAACTTACAAGGAATTTATTTTTATCATGGAATGTAACAACAGACCTAATTGATCGCTCACAAGGTCTGTACATTTAATGGACTCTTAGCTTAGTGCGCAGCTCAGTGTTGTAAATTAATGCAACAAGAGGTTGTTAAGTTGTATAACATTAACTAGCCTAGGTTTCAGATCACAGTGTTGCCTAGTACGGAGTTTGTTGTTCCCCTAGGTTGCAGCTTGAAGCATTTGTAACAGTGTTTCTAATTTTTTTTATTATTTTACAGTAATATTTATTTTACAATTTCTCACATTGTAAAGTGCTGTTAGATACTTTGAAGAAACAGTGCTATGTGAATTATTACATTATTCAAGTGCTTTGGTTTTTTGGGACCTGCCAATTAATTCTCTTATTCTCTGAGTGGCATTTTGCTCGGTGTGCTGCCACGGCAGTACCTTGTTGATGTTTTGATCTATTGGCCTTATGTTTTTACCTCATAAGGCCAAAGTAAGGAGGCTGTAAAGTCACCTGTAGCACTAAACACTAAGCAGTGTCCTGCAAATGTGTCTGATCTTCTTCCTTCAATTACCTTCTTGTTTAGATCAGAGTGAAACCTTAATTATTGGAACAGTGATATTGAAAAAAAACGTGTTAATACATGAATGTTTTCCTGCAGAAATTTTCATCTTCCAATTGCCCTGCAAAGAGACACCAGGAAAGAGCAGTTTCCAGCACCCAATCAGTATACAGTAAGTCAACTTCTTGAGAATGATTTCTAAAAAGTTTGGATCAAGATTTTTCAATTAAATGTCTCACATTTACTCTGTTTTCTTTGGCACAGATTGGTAAAACTACTGGTAGAGTTTTTTATGACAACAATGTTGCAGCTTGTGCTGCTTTTCGATCAAAGTAAGTCAGAAACCAGTAATACTCCTCATGTTAAATTTTGTGCTGATATGGTGGCTAAGATAATGTTTTACTTTCTGTTGTCTTTGGCTGTCTTTCACAGTTGTGTATGTCTTGTTTGGGGTGGGACTACATGTAGTTATGAAAAAATTGATTTGTTTTGTAAACGAGTACTGGTATCTTGATTTTCTTTCCTTTCCCTTGATAAATTAATCAGAAAAATGTATGACAAGATGCTTTAAATTAATTTGATTAAATTTTCAACAGATCAAAGAGATCAGAAGACTGGTCTGGAGCAACTTTTGGACCATCACCATGTAAGAACATTCACTTGTTGGTTTAATTACTCTGTCAAAAAATTTTCCTTTGTTATCCAAGGTGGATACTGAGAAAACAGGCCAGGTGTGCTGAGTTAATTATGTGTGAAATACTTATGAAGTTTTTGGTGAGGTTGATTTGTCTGAGTTTTTTTACCAAATACATGTACAGTTGTGTAGCTGAGGTACTTGGGTTGTACATACTATCAAAAATGAGAACAGTGCAAACACCAGAAAAATGTTTGAAGTTTTAGTGTCCAAAGGAAGATGATAGTTAAGCTAGCCAATCTGGTGTGAGGAACTGCAAACAAGTAGCTTTGAATTCTCAACACTGTCCTGGTAACCAATGTCATAGCTGGTCACAACACAATGAACATAAATGTAGTTCCTAAAACATTTCAGATCTTTGAGGTTTTCAGAGCTTTGCACGTGACCTGGACCAGGATGGCTGCAAATTTTAGCTAAGGGCATTAGTGCCCGTTAATCTTTAATGAATTTAAATCCTGGCTTTTTCTGATTTTATTTCAAACATGACAGTGGCCAACTTGAAAGCCTCAGCTCCTTTAGCCACTGTGCACATCCTCTCTAGATTTTCTATTTATTAATATTTGAATAGTAGCATTTCTGTAAGAAGTGATTAATTTTCAATATGTGTAAGGTTAATTCAAATAAACAGTCCAAATAAAGTTGAAGTTGAAAGTTCAGAGTTTGACAGTCAACAGTTGATGACACACACAGCTCACTTTGACTGTGATAATATGACATGCAAATTGTTGAAAAATCAGTCCAGGACTTAAGACTCATCCAGTCATTTGACTTTTTAACCTATTATAATTATGATTTGTTCTAAATATGCATCACTTACAAAAATGTCAGGTCACTATACCATAAATGACAGACTTGTCAAAGATTCACCAAAAATTGCTACAGCACCATTCAAGTCAACAACAGAGAGAAAGATGATGCAGTCCCCAGTGCCATACCCTGGACCAGGTACATACAGACCCTTTGAAACAGTCAATCTTAAAAGACCTGCAGCAGCAAAGGAGCAAACTGGATTCCAGTAAGTGTTACTTTACCACACCTATAGTTATGAAATGTTACAAATCACAAAGAATGATTAAAGATAGATATGTACGCGTAATATTATACGTATACGTGTATTACGTATGGTTGACGGAAGAAAACAAGTAACTAGGGATACTTAATCAAGTAACTAGGGATACTTATGTAGTTACTTGTTTTCTTCCGTCAACCATACGTATACTCGCTCTACTTTATGTATTGAGCACTGTTTTACGGATTTCAAGTTCAAACCTCTTATACGTGTATTATAGTGGTAAAAATCTCACAGGAATATGATTTGTTTAAACTTTGTCCCACTTTGATAATTGGTGCCTCACTAATCTAATTTTTGCATTAAGTCTAGACTTTCGTTCGATCAGTGAACTGTAGTTACATGTAACTGTGAAAAGAAATCCCTAGCTGTTTGATTCCCTACCCACTTGTTGTATTTACCCGGCAATTTGAAATCTTAGTGACAGCCCCATAACTTTGTTGTAGCTTGGAGCTACAATAAAGGCCTAGACCCAATGCAATTGTGCTGTGCACGTCCTTGCATTTGGTGAATTGCTGCATGCGTGAAATTCAGATTGCCACAATTTTCAGTGCTTACAATACTGGTAATATTCTTCTTGATGATACATACACTAGCTGGAAGAAAAAATAAGTTTAAATTTGACATTTTCGGGTTTTTTAGCCAATCAACAGTCTGAACATACACTTGGCCATAGATTTTGTGACAAAGAGCACTGTGTATCTTGGTTGGGTTTTAATCTAATGTTAAATGCAGGCATGACTGAATATTGGAAGTGTGCAAAGAACCTTGAATAATGATGTTCCTTGTATTGTCTGTTTATGTAACTTTCAGTAACAAGCATTACTTGTGTATTTCGGCACCTGCTATGCCTCTTCCTCCTTTGGAGCCAATGCCAGGACCAGGTCATTACAATGTTGTGGATTATGAAGGCCCCCCTAAACATTACATGTCCAGTTCTGCATTTGTATCGACAACAAGTCGATGGTCAGGAGGGGCACCTGGAGAGGAAGATCTCCCCGGACCAGGTAAATACATTTTTTAGTGGGACAATAATGATAACAGAAGATTCTGTAAAACATTCAAGCATAAATTTAAAACTCACATGGTTTTTGAATGCAAATGAACAGACACAATAAATGCAAGACAAATTAATTTGTTTTCGATAATATTTCATATTATGATAATGGTGACAAGTCATCGCCAAACATATTTTTATTGAGTTACTTTTAATTTATGCTTAGAATAATGATAAAGGCACTAACTATCAGATACGTGGTAGCTATCAGTTTACAGTATATATTTATGAAGTTCAAATGAAGAGTTAACTAATACATTCATTTACTTGTTGATGCACTTATCCACTGGATAGTGATTTGTCCAGTGCATAGCACTATAACTTTTACCCCAGTGGAGTTGGTTAGATAAGAATGCTCCATAGCCAATGGGCATGAAGAGTCAAACTTAAAACCTAGGGCACTTCTTTATGTCAGTTCACAAAGATACAGCTGTAGGGAGAGTGCATAGCACAAGTTTCAAATACGAACAGATTGCAGTGATTGTGAACTCCTAAGGGGGAAACTTTTCAACAGATGAATCTCCTCAGTTTCTTAGGATGGTGTGTGCTTCCTACTAAGTTAAAGCGTTTGGACAATTCAAGACTATGGTAATGACTCTAGTATGAAGTGATGATATTTTTCATTTTAACAGTTTTAATTTAACATCATTTTTTGTTATTGCAGCAACATACCGTCCACAGCACTGTGGTAAACAGTCATTTATCTACAATGCACAAGGAAGATGGATATAGTGCTAATTAAAATTAATTAATGAAAATATGACTGTAAATGTTATTATAATGATTTTAAAATGTTACATCAAAAATAATTGAAATGCCCAAGTTGACAGCTAGTTTATAGTCATCTTAAATTTACAGGGACTGGGACTATTTATTATAGTGCAAACTCTGAAAGTTGTACAGTTGCAGCAAAGCAATTTTTTGATACAAAGTGTGTATAATTATAGTGTACATAATTTTTAATTTGTACATTTCAAAAACCATTATTGTAAATATAGTTTTGTATTGACATCAGCATGTATGAATATGATTATTTTAAGAATAGGGTATCCTGACTCTTCAGTCAGTAAACTGATCATTTTCTTTAGTCTTCAGTCTAAATGCAAGCAAAACAAATGGTGTACCATATCTGGCAAGTGGTGTAAAATATGATATAAAAAGTAAAATAATATCCTCAACCGTAAATAAAGTAGGAAGTGAAAAACTTTTAGCCAGGAAATCCTGTTTCATGTAGATTTAATCACCTCCTCATTTCTTTTCTAATCTCCAAACAAGCAAAACTTGGCCTTTTTAAGAGCATTCTTGTTTGGTGTTTACATTTTGTCAGACTTTAAAGGAATAAGAGCTTGATATCATGTTTACTTTTTAACAAGCTGTTAAAATCATCATAATTATCCTAGATGTGAAGGTTTGCAAATAACAGCTTACATTCAGTAAAGAAAAAAGGGATGCCATAATTTAAACTGATATGATAAACCACTGGCAAAAAAGAGCCCCACTGGCAGGCCCCAATTATGCTATAAAGATGCATGTCTGCAGAAGGGACCTGATGGCCTTGGGCATTGACATCAACGTTCAGCTTTGAAGCAGGCAGAGAAGGAAGGCCTTTCTGAGTTTGAAGAGACCTTGCTGAATAGGCAGAAAAAAAGAGACAAACAAGGAAGGCCCAAAACCAAGGAGATACCCCAGCAACTGACTAGATCTGCTCACTGTGCAGAAGGGACTGTTATTCCTGAAAATTAATGGTCTTTCCAGCCACACAAGGCGCTGCTCGAGAACCACCAATCAGAGTGCAGCACCTTAGTCTTTCGAGACTGACGGTTGCCAATCTTAAGATAAACCTTGTTAAAGCGGAACACAGCAAAGCAGCAGTATACAAGTGCTGCATGCTGCATGCTGCTGTGGATCTGGGGTAACCAACATAACCATAATGTAGACCTTTTATATTGAATTTGAATAATTTTATTTTATAATAATTTGTTTTGGCATCTAACCAGCCTCACTAGCCCTGTGAAAATGCACACTGCCAAGGGCAAACAAATGTCATTTTTAACTCGAGATGAAAGAATAGTCATAGAATTCTCCAGAGGCTATTACTTTTGTAAGAAACAGGGAGACTGAATGCAAAAGCTTACCACTTCTCTGTCATTTTTAAAACTTTATTCTAAACCTTTTAAGTATAAAGTAATTCTTACAAAACAGTTATTATCTTTGTTGGTTTTAGATTGATTTGATGTTGAAATAAAGACAGTATTTAATACAGAAAATCCTCTTTAACTTTAAACTTGCTACTATATTTAAGATTCTTATCATTATTATCATGGCATTTTTATTACATTGGCTATTTACTTCCAACTCTTAAAAAATTAATTTGAAAAAAATTTTCAATGTAACATTCTCAGAAAGTTCTTTTGCTGTGGAAATGAAAAGAGTGAATTTTGTATACCTCACAACAGTAATGTAACTATACAAAGTGTGCAACAGGTAACAGAACCGTGGTCTTTAATACATTCTTGAGAGATGATGCAAGTTATACTAACTTTTGGCAGAATATCTTTATCAAAGTTTGACAACCTTAAATTAATATACCAAAGTACAAAAAGATTGAACTTGAACAAATGCAACATAATGTCTGCTATTACACTAATGCACACTACAGTTAACCTTCAGCAATCCAGGAAATTTGCTGCCATTAACAACTCCAAGGCGATCTCTGGAGCAATGGGGAATTCTGGGATCTCTGTGCTGCTGTTGGTGTATCGCACTTTGTACATAAAATAAGTACAGACTTTGGCAAGCACATGCGATCTGCAACGAGGAGTTGTATGAAGAAGTTTGTTAGTTTTCTCATGCAATTCGTAAGTGTCCTCTATATTATGTACAGTGGAAGCCCGCTCTACAGACACCCACTTAATATGGACGCCTGTATATGTTGTAGTTCAATTTTGCTCATGGTACAAATTGTCTTGTACTGGTACAATTATTTTTAAACTGGTACAAAATTATTGATCTAGTACAAAATTTATTAGACTGATCGCATTATATATTTCTTTCTGTGTTTGCCCCTTGCACTGTGGCCAAGTTTCATTTCAGGGTTTTCAATAAGATTTTAACTAAGTAGTAGGTGGCAAAAGCTTTGGAGTAAGTGGAGAATGAAAAAACTGGTAGCAAAGGTGCGACTTGTGAGCTCCTGGAAAAATTTTGAAATTTGGGCCTCTTATAATGCAGTTCCAGCATTCTGGAGCAAGAATTAGGGTGTTTGACAGAACACAGACATCATTACATTTTGGCTCCTTTATTCAGTGTCAGCACATGATTACTCTATTTTAAACTGGCCGGGATGATTTCCATAAAAAAGTACCCTGCATTTCCTGCCTTTTTGTGGCTGTCACTGCAGACTGTCCAAACTTCTGGCTATGAAAAATAGGGAGAAATTTTTGTGCGCCGAAAGCGAGAGGTGCTGGGGGTGTCTCGGGGCATGCTTCCCTAGAAACTTTTGAAATTTTAAGGCTCGGAAACACCATTTCTACCATTCTGGAGTGACAATTAAATTTTCTGTCAAAAATGTTTGGTAAATTGATTGTTAGTTTTAAGATTGTTTACCCTTAAGGTGGCTTGACCCAGCATTTTTATAGGTGTTCAGAAGTTTTCAATTGACATGAAATTTGGGGATTTAATAGTACACTGACCAATTAAAGTACTAAAACAGTCTAAAAAAATCTATCAACCAATTTTGTTTTAATCGCTGTTTCCATGAAAGTAGCCTTAGAAATTACAAAAAGAGCTCAGCATTGCGTTTTACCCTGATTCATACGTTTTCATGTGTTTTGAAATCGCGCAAGTGTACTTGCATTGACCAATTAAAGTACTAAAACAGTCTAAAACATCTATCAACCAATTTTACTTTCATCGCTGTTTCCATGAAAGTAGCCTTAGAAATTACAAAAAGAGCTCAGCATTGCGTTTTACCCTGATTCATACGTTTTCATGTGTTTTGAAATCGCGCAAGTGTACTTGTACTCAGCGGCTTCTAGAGTGTATAACGAATGAGTGATAAAACCTTTTCGGAAACATCTAAAAAGTAACTCCAGTCTTCAGTGCATGGATAATTTATACTCTTTCTATAGAAATTCCGGGATATCTCAAAATTCCTCCCATAGATTTTTGTGAAACATTGCACAGCTGAAGACATTTATCCAAAGAATACGAAGCTTAAAGCATTTCAAAAGAATTTAATGCCGGACAGGGCCGAAATTCGATTTAGGGCAAAACCATTGTGACATCATTGCCACATGACATTAATTTTATTCCAATCAACCCAAAAATAATACCATAATAAATTTTAGTCTAAGTGTAATCCATGGGTCATAATCGTTTTACAGTACAGATCAATTTGTTTAAGTATAAGAGATTCAAAGATGGAGGGTGTGCCTATAAAAATACTGGGTTGAGCCACCTAAACATGCATTAAACTGGATTGGTTTTCTTATTATTCTTGGCTATCAGCAGGCCTTGTGGCAGGGGCCATAAATAAAATGCTGGGAGTTGTTTTGACACTGAAAGAAAGAAAGCAACTCTGAAGAAGCGAAGTACCGTTCTAAACGGTACTTTATGTACTCTACACCAAAAAGTAGGAAGGGCTACCAAGCCATAAATGTCAGGATTTTTCCAATACCGGTCACATGTTGGTCAGGATTCAGGATTTTCAATCAAAATCGGGGTAATCCCGATGAAATCAGGTTGGTTGGACAGTCTGTCATTGTTCCTACCCCTCTTCCTCTTTGTCTGCTTTAGTCTTTATATCAATACAACATGTGTCTGTGAAGTTTTTTTCCCGAGAGACTGCTTAATACAGACACCTGGCCCCAGTTGTTCAAACGTTGGATAGCGCTACCCACCGGATAAATCACTATCCAGCAGATAGCGTAATTGGTTTCCCTAATACTTATCCGCTGGGTAGTGATTTATCCGGTGGAAAGGGCTATCCAATGTTTGAACAACTGGGGCCTGGATAATAAGGACACCTGTATGACATGTCCCCTTGGTGTCTGTACTAACCAGGTTCCACTGTACTTCATTTCCACACAATAAGTTACAATGAACTGAATTTTTTCAAAATAAAACTAATCCCATATGAACCCTAAAAGTGCTTCATTATGCAATACACTGTACATGTATATGCCAGTGCAGTGTTCTCCCTAAATTTTAGCTAACTGGGTAAGGGACCATTCATGGCCAGTAAGGCAAAAAAAGGGCCCCTGGGGGGTGGAGGGGTAGTGGAGTGAGGGACATCATTTCCTCACTTCAAGACCTATTTTATGCAAATGGACCATTGTTATCTTTAGGCAACAATTTAAAACGTTCGATATTTCCAATAATTTTACTCTGACATCAACGTTCTCTTTCCAAAATGTATGGTCCATAAAAAGAAAAGCTGTGTATACTTTGGTAATTTTCCATATATTAATTCATTTTCTTTTGAGAATCAGATTGGATCACAACTTGCCTATTTTTTAAAACAAATTATTTTTTTTAGTAAACCTTCAAGAGGTTGCAGGCGGTAAGAAGTGTTGCTTCAGGTGGTAAATTTTACTGGTTACCGCCTGATAGGGAGAACACTGCGGTGTATTTGTTTTTAACAAGCATTCATGTAGTGAGTTTGGGACCCCTGTGAATACAGACTCTTGAACCTCTGCAGCTGTCATCTATTTGCTAGCAGCTACATGTACACCTGTAGTTACATGCACTGCAGCGGGGCTAAACTGCAGGTCACAGGTCACAGGTCAGGTCACAGGTCACAGGCCACAGGCCAGGTCACAGGTCAGACCACAGGTCACAGGTCAGATAACAGGCCACAGGTCAGGTCACAGGTCAGACCACAGGTCACACACAAAGACAATAGGACACTGGACAAAACTGTTCTTGATTGACATTTTATCATACAAAAATAGAACAAGCCAAGGAACCTCAATTATATTTTTTCTGTCCTGAACTTTACTAAATCCCACACATGAGAAAATATATTCATGCTGATCACGCAAGGAGGACTTGCGTTACAGCGTAACCAAAGTTAGTAACGAAATCACAAAGGTACGCAAAATCACGCGATTTGTTAGAAAAAACGAATCTCAAAAAGAAGGGTTGTTGCGTTAAGAATATTATGACGTGTTTGTGGATGTTTTAAAAAGCATTCGACGGGAAAACGGAAGAAAAACTTAAGGACAGTCTAAAACTTATTTGACCACTGAAATACGGCAACTTTCTTCAGACTTTTCTCGTCCTAAACTCTTCTTGCCACTAGATCGGTCTTCCATCTCTTTTGAAGGTGGCGGCCTGTTGCTCGCGCTTCGTACCAGTCACAAAATACTGCTATATTAAAGTGTAGTAGGCTAAGAACTTCAGACATTGCTATAGTTGCTGGACCATATTTCTCGGCTCTTCTCTCAAGAGCTTGCCATTTTCTCACGTTCTGTTGCACAACAGCTTGAAAAACCTCTGTTGGATTTGCCTCGTAGCCCTTACGTGGGAGCATTCCGCCATTACAACTTGAATCTTTGACTCTGTAAACTGCTGATGTATCAAAGGATTAAAGTGCTGCATGTCAGTGACTCGCTCCAAGTTATCTTGGCTGCACGGCTTATTTGGAGATGACATTCTAATAACAGGACAACACTTCGTTTTCAGTGAAAAACATGTGATTTGTTTTTCGTACAAAATGATTTTGCCCACCGTTGTGATTTCGTTACGAAGTTTGGATATGCCGTATGATCAGCATGAAAATATTATTCCATGTGTGGAATTTAATATTGTTTAAAGGACAAAAATATCATCAAGGTTCCTTGGCTTATTTTATTTATGTATAGTAAAACATCAGTCTAGATCAGTTTTGTCCAGTGTCCTATTGTTTTTTGTGTGACCTGTGACCTGACCTGTGGCCTGTGACCTGTGGCCTGTAACCTAACCTGTGGCCTGTGACCTGTGGCCTGTAACCTGACCTGTGGCCTGTGGCCTGTAACCTGTGACCTGACCTGTGACCTGTGACCTGCACTTTAGCCCCGCCGCATGCACTGAAACCTTGATACAACGAACCTCTATACACTGTATAACAAAGTCCTTGGCTGGTATAACGAACAATATTCATTGCCCCAGTGATAGAAAAATTTAATTATAAGGAAAGAGCCTCCAATGAATCCTTGTTTTGGCAAACACATTTTGCTAGTCCCTTTACCCTCAGTTTAATCAAAATTCCAACATATGCCAGAGTCTATGTGAGCAAAGGAGAAAAGAAGAGAAATTTGAATAAGATTATGAAGTACTTACGGAATTTCCCTGAAGTAAACTTCGTTGGTTTCATTCTCATGAAACTGACCTGCAAGTAAGACAAAAAATGTTCCAGGCCTGCAGTCTGAACCATGATTGCTTTTCAAAAGACAGAGGATCTTACTAATTTGCTTCATTTTTAATGCACTTGCTCCAAAACTAACCTGCATGTTGCAGGAGGCTAGCAAAAGTGGAAATTAACTCACAGCACTTTAACCTGTGGATTTTTTCTCTGTTTCAGTTATGGTATGTGTACTTAATGAGTCTAATTTGCAGATGATTTGTACATTGAAAAACAATCAATTACAAGTCATAATCATTTCATTTGTAAGCATTTAATGGTTGTTGAAAATAAAGACCAGCTTCTATCATAAAAAGTTAAAGGTAAGAGTCAGACTAAACAGCTGTCACTAAGATTTCAAGTTGTCAGGTATATGCATTAGAAGGAAGGAAATTAAAGAGCAAGGGAGTTCTTTGTGCTCCATTTTCCCATTGTTTCCTCCGAAAAAGCCAGGGGTCATGATTCTAGTAGGGTTAGGGTTTAGCAGCCAGGAGAAATCCCCGGTCTCCAGCCCCTAATGACAGCTCTTCAGAGAACGATTACATAGTTTTTTTAAGAGTCTTACCAGGACCACTCAACATGGCCTTGATTGTGCCTGAAGTCAAGGCATAATCCCTGTTGATTATAAATTCATGTTCATCACTGGAAATCAGCTTCACATAGGTAGCATTTGGACCTTCACATCCTCCATACACTGGCTCTGTTTGGCCTTCATCTCCTTTCTTATCGTCAGTGTCTGTCATCTATTTGTTAGAAACATTAATATTTTTTAATAGGTAGCCATCACTTTTCCTTAAAATAGCAAAACTGCATGAAGTGCCGAACATTTCAATGAACAACAATAATTTTTCACTTTGGGAATGGATTCACAAACTGTTTGAACGGACATCTAAACCGTTCCAGTTAGTACGCAGCTCTAAAAAACCACTAATTTCATTGGTTCTCCATAACACGCAGCTCCCTTATGTTTTAGGGATAAAGTCATTGTTGTATTTCTATGTCTACTGTTTTCAGAGCCAATACTGTGATGCCTCGTAACGAGCTGTGTGGCGTCCTGACCGTTTGAACTGATGTTAGAATACTTCGGATGAATACTAATTTTTTTTAATGGATAGGCAAATCATTTGAATGGTTGATCAATCACTTTGAATGGCTCTTTTAATGCGTTTGACTGGATTACAAACACTTATCCTCTAGGAATGGATAACCTGGTGACATTTTCCACCAAGACAAAACATTCATCTGTAAAAAAACAAGTCGAGAAGGGTGTCATACTTTCTGATGGTCATTGTACTATAAATTGGATTAGCTAAGAGATTTATTGGGCCCACAATGTTAACTACTGGGTCTTCCAGTAATTTATTGTGACAGCCATTAAAATTTCACTATTATTATTGTTGTTATTATCATTATTTTGTAATGGGCATTTCCTTTTTTTCCTTTTTGTTTTTTTATTTTGCCCTCCCCAATTTTGTCATCCCAAAAACACAGGCCAAGACCGCAGAGGCTATCCACATGTCCATATTTTGTCCAAGTCTCAGAGTTAAGGAACCCAACACTCATCACAGAATACATGTTTCCTAGTTGCAAATCACAGAAGTGGTCTCTCAAAGACGTCTCTTTTGTAAATTTGCAAAACAAAATATTGATATACATGTACATGTGTGTACTATTATATGTGATGATTGCTAGCTGACACACTTTAGTTTTTGTGACAATAAATAAGAATTGAGTTATAATTATATTCTGCAGTAACGTATCTTTAAATTTTCACAGTCCATAAATGTGCATTCTTTTAACTACTGTAAAGAAATCAAGGATCTACTTTGACTACCAACAAATTTTCAGACCTCAAGGATCCGTCATGTATGTCAATAGTTTTATGTCCGTTTGGAATTTAACGAGTGATGTACTAAAACTGGTAAATACACAAACTCTCTTCGCATGCTGTTCAGAGATACTGCTTACTATTTTACAAGTTTTTTAAAAGCACATGTAATTAATTTAGAAGGGCTATTCAAAACGCACGACTTAAATTTCTGTCCATCGTATGAAAGCACACGGTACGTACAATATTGCATGCAAGCTAAAATTCAGACAAGCAATACAAAATAGCCGGCAGAAAGAAAACAAACTTCACCGAAGAAAAAACTCATAATAAATTCTTCTAGTATATAACCACTTGAAACTAAAGGAATATGTTTTGAACCACATAAATCGAAGTATCGCCAAAATATATTTCATGACAAAAATTTCCGACAATTAGACTAACTTAGCGACAACATGAACAATGCATTTTACAATCAACAACAGAGGAAGCGACGACATCAGCGAAAATCGTCTTGGAAGAGCACCGTACATGTAAATTTACCTCTGCAGGTTTTTAAAGGTTTCTGATAAAGGTCCAGACGGCCAGAAAACGACGAAAAACGAAACAAAAGTGTTCCCACACTGCTGCCGGTCACAACGCTTTCCGAAAATTACTTTGATCTTGGCTTGTACTTCATGTAAGCCTTACGTATAATGTCCTGAGACGTATAAGGTCCCTCACGGTCAGAATTTGGCGGAGCTTTGGCGGGAGTTTTTGTGATGCTTTTTTAATATAATAGTCTTTTTAATAAAACTAATGATAACGCGGAAGGTTAGGGAGTGCGGGCGATAACGATCGAAGGTCCAAACGCTTTTGCTCCAACGCTGTGCTTTGCGTAGGTTTCACTTCATATAGTCAATTTGCTTAAGTATATATTTTTCTACAAGTTTAATTGTACTAATCCAGGTCTGGAGCCCATCACCCGGAGCGTCTAACTTCCATACTGCGCCTATGCAACGGCGTTTTCACAAGTAGGTTTATTTTTAGATAAGCCTTTCCCGCGAATTGCTTTCGAAAAGCCAATCACAAGCTAATGCGTCATCAATAATACACTTTTAATACGTAACCAGGACAACTCCATCACATTGAAAAAAAAGCATGGCGGACGTGAGGAATCTTCAGAGGATTCTTCTGACAGTACTTCAAGCGACAATTTCAGTATTTACACGGAAACTAGCAGTTCAAAGGAAGATCGTCAAAACGTAAAAGAGCCCGGGACGTCTACGTCATCGGCGACAACGCATAATTCACGCAAAGGGAAATCGAAATCATCTTCGAAACAGCCGACTGTGAAAAGGTCCAAGCAACAACAGTCATTTTTTGCGGGAAAAGCTTATCTAAAAATAAACTCACTTGTAAAAACGCCGTTGCACGAATTATGGTAGTTGCACACTCCGGCTTATGGGCTCCTGTCCAAGTCTACAACTGGGAGATCTGGCACCATTCATTGGTTTGTTGCTGTGGACTTGCCGACATTTTATATATTATGGTCAAAACACACGTGATAAGAGTAAGAGGAATCGGCTCCCGGGGATAGAAGTTCGAAACGCGCTAGCTTGCGTAGCAGGCGTCGAAAGGGGTAGGGGATAGGGAGGACGGGGAAAAGGGGGATTTCCTCCCCCTCCCCTCCCATTTTTGCCCCTGACACGCAGGCTAGAAACGCGCATGATCAGGAGCCCATGGGCTCCTGGCGTGATTAAATTGCGTTTTGCGCATTCCATTTATTCTTAGTGGAAGTCCAAACGACTGCCATTCTCGTCCCCAGAGCCCGTCTTTCTTGGTCACGTGGTTCGTTACAAATTAAGGCGAGTGGCTCTGGGGACGAGAATGGCTGGCAACATACATGCGACGCATGCGTAATAACAACCTGAAGATTAGGATTGCGGGCTCCTCCTCGGGGAAAGAGGCCCGTGAAATGTCTGGGATGGGAGGGTAGGAGAGAATTACGGGCTGCTGCAAGCTCTTGGCTCCTGACAGGGTCAAGTGTGTAACTGGGCCGGGGAGGGCAAGTTTTAAAACCTGCTCTAATATGGGAAGCTAAGATGTACTCATGTTCCATCCTTTTGGTTGGAGTAAATTGGAACCCAGTGCCCAGTGGAGTTGCTGTTGTTAAAAATAGGGTAGCCAAAATTGCAAAGGTCCCATGTTCCATTTGACCCTCCTACATTTGTAATTATAGTCACAACGAAATGAGTGCGTGATAGTCTACGACTGCAGTCATCCAGTTACATTTGGCTAAAGAAAGCTAACCCATACCATGTCTAATAATAACTGTAATAATTATTTTCGTAGGATGTCATTAGTAGAACGAAGAAATTGTGTTGCGGAACCCGCAGATTATGTCTGTGAATGGAACTGGTGTTGGCAAATTTCTGATATATATTCGGGTACTTGCCTGTTCACTGTTTTGAACATTAACGTTTTTAATTGGTTCGTTGGCCTGTCGGCGAGGCTCATCCAGTACAGATCACGAAGGATCTTGGGTGATCTGACATCCCAGCCAGTTCCAGTTATAATTATTATATGTGCGCTCTGTTTTGTAGTTTCTCAAGTCTTTGACTAAGGCCAGCGCCAATATTTCCCCAAACAACACTACAATAATTAAGATGATGCAGAATCAATGATTTGTAAATTGAGACAAGAATCCCCTGGGGGCAAATTGGTTTACAAAGATACGTCATATATCCAAATCATACACTTTTGTCACACTTCCTCAAGTCATTTGAACAAAGTTTATCGACGTGAAAAGAATTCAGGGAAACATCTTAATTAAGGGTACTGTTGAGCAAAGGAAGAGCCCAAGAGTCCCACAAATGTCGCCCAATAAGGAGAAGGTCATCAACAAGTCGTATGCAATTAGTGAATGTGACTTGCTACTGTACTGCTACAACGAGTCAGCTACTCCAAACTTCGAGGAAGTGGCATTGGCCAATAGCGAAACAAGTATGCAATTCCAGAGATCACGCAGAAATTTGTTGTAAACTATGTCAGCTGAACTGCAAGTCGGCAAAACCACAGGACTGGATAGTAGAATTTGCTGTGATTGCTGCGGGCAGCCCGCTCGGCCTTCTATAACGTCATTCGTCCTCGACAAAAGACATCAGTCTGAGTATCAGCACTGAAAGAAACCTGGCGTGTTGAAAAAAAGCTAAATTCTCTCCTGTCTAGCTGGAGACCAGAGAGCCAGAGAGTAGGCAGCTATATCGTTTAATCCGGCAGGAATTTATCCATCCAGTCTAAAGTTCTCGAAAGGCACGTACACACCTAATCAACCCACGTTACCAAGACGACACGAGAGTTTGGGCAAAATAAGTTTATTGAACCAAGCGGAGAAAGCTGACCGATAGCTTGACAATAAACCAAGACGCAACTAGATTAAATTAAATGAAACGAAGGGACAATATGGTAATAAACTCAACAAGAATACTGAGATATAAGGGGGGGAGAGGTGGGCAAGAGGTTACGCGTCGCCTCCGGATCTAACAAAAGATGACCGGTTAAGAATGTGCGCTCGTTTATATAAGACATTTGACACCTCCGTAACTAGTTAATTAACGATCATTAATAAATGATTACTCAATCAACCCACGTTACCAAGACGACACGAGAGTTTGGGCAAAATAAGTTTATTGAACCAAGCGGAGAAAGCTGACCGATAGCTTGACAATAAACCAAGACGCCAAAGTGCCCAAACTAGAGTGAGAATGTTGGTAGTGGGTTGAAAAAAGACTAAGGCATAAGTCGATAATAAAACTTAGTCGGAAAACATAGACTGAAGCGTTAGGGCCATAGCCTTGGCTGCCTGCTGTTTTTGTGTCTGAGATAATTCTAAATAAACAAGATAAGCGTCGCTCTTCCAGTCTCCCCTGCAGT